GAGCCAGCAAAAGTTGACTCGAGAGCTGACTGATAGTTGGGTGATGCACTGCCGACACATGTGGGAGCACTTTGGCCAAGCCCAAAATAGAAAGCTTAAGGCGCAATGTGCTTTGGTGCATCTGCTGTGTTTGTAGAAACCATGACTTCACTTCTGCGTGCAGTGCTTCATTCGATGCTGTGCCTGCCGGGAGGAAGGCGATGATCTTTCGACCTGCAATCAAGAAAGCAGCCGGCGTGCATTCTCTTCGACAATGACACATGGTCTCGTGGACCGATCAAGGAACAACTGAGTTCCGAACTGAGCGTGTGACGGTATCGGATGTTGTTGAAAAACCACTCACACCGGTCCGGCTCCGCTGCGCTACAGGGGATATGGGCGACGGACTGACTAGCTCCCGTTACACGGAGCGACATGTCCTCACTGAAAACGGCCGACAACGCAGCCAGTGCCTCAATGAACTCCAATCTGCACCGAAATGGCACTGTGGTATCCAGATCTTCGACAGTCTTGCTGGCCTTTGCCTTCTGCATGGAAGATGTTTCGATCGATGTGCGCCGAGTGCGTTCGATTTGGTTGAGAGGCCGACTATCAGACCCTCTGTAGGTTCCACCCCAGTGCTCTGCGCCCATGCTGTGATCCACCATGTTAAGCTTGTTCATGATCTTCCGAAGAAACACTCCCCCAGGCGTTTTCTTTACCCACGTTGCGTACAAGGTGAATCGTGAGGTGTGCATACGTACCAGTGCTATGAGAAGAACGCGCTTACACCTGCACGGTCGCACGCATCGCGTACCTACCCAAACATAAGTCGAGTTGCTCATACACGATCGATAAGTGAATAGGGTCGAGCGTCCGGTGCTAATGATTTGGCATGATGCGCTTTAGTTCCGCACGCAACTTCAAGGAAGCGGAATCCGAGGCCGCACATTCGACCTGAGCCAGGCCTTGCGCTAGAAGCATTTCTGAAAGAGCGAGGCTGCAGATTTCCGGAGCCTTTCCAGATGAGATAGCGATCATGCCTAAAACGGCACCAGTGCATCCTCGCACAGTCAAGACCTTACTGAGAGCATGCTCATCGTCAAAGGCAGCTGCGTTGCGTTTTGCATGCGGAGCACGCCAGGATTCTTGGCGCAAACATGCTCATGCAGCATTTCATAGTAGCATCCATCGAAATGTACTGAAACTCCTTCTGGCGCAACAAGGTCGTCATGGTATCTGCTCTCAATCTGGAGACGGCCGGTGAACTGAAAACATCTTCGATGATGGGCCACCAGTGTCGAACATCAGTTGGCAAAAGAGAAGCTGTCAAAGATCCCCGGGACACGATCGCGCTGGTAATTCTTGCTCTGGCCTTAGCAACAGATGTCTCAAGTTCTGTCTACATCACCTTACATCTTGTGCTATATTCTGACAGCTAGCCAAACAATCAATGCTCAGCTATCCAAATTGCTGTTTTGCACTTACCATGACACAACAGCATTTCACGGAACACCAAGTCCGCAAAGTCCTTGGTGTAGTAGAGGTTTCGCACTCCTCGACTAGCGTTGCTTCGACTCAAAGAAGAGAGCATCCGGAACTCCGGACCTGCGCCAGTGAGAGCGAGTCGTATATCCCTGTCGACCTCGTTGCTTGTTTTGGGAAGACCTGGCTGCACCGTGCTCCTGAGGATCTCTGCACTTCTGGCCAAGTACTGCCCGCACCAAGAGTTTGGTCTTGATCGTACAGCGCACAGCGCAGCTTCAGTTGCTTCGTCCCGCTGGCCACGTACTGTTGCGCAGCTGTGTGATATTGAGGTACATGCTTGTTCACTCGGGACGGCCAATGGAAGCTTCGAAAGGGACAGAACGGACATTTTCTCTGCTTCGTGCAATTTGACGTGAGCTGCTGCACTTCTTTACAAAGCAAGGAGAGCAGATGATCTCCGGGATGCACCACTGGCTCCTCGCCCTCTGAGCCTCCGAATCACACTCATCATCGGAGCCTTCCAAAGGTCCGCTGCACTCGCAAGGGTCTTGCAAGCACGACTGCCACTCCTCGTCTGCTTCGCCTGCTCCTGCTCGCAGCTGCAAAAGAACCGCAGCGGCTGATCTTTCCTTCGTCTTCGATGGCTCCCTCTCCACGTCGTTCTCGAACAGCTGCAAAGATACGATGGTGTTGGAGTCGACTGCCTCCTCACTGAATTGCACCAGCTCCGGGAGTAGCAGCCTGGTCTTGTGCAAACCGTCCCAGAGCTCCACCAGTTCGTTGTCTCGGA